TCATTAATGAGGGGACCTGACAAAGGAGGAGCTGAGACTCAGCCTGACAGAGTTACGCAGGTTTCTGTGCCCTGCCTGCCTCTGGTGCTGCACGAGGCTCCAGCTCCTGTCACAAGGGCTGCAGGGACAATGAATGAATATTTATAAAGTGTAGCAAATATGCTCTAATTACCCTAATTGGCCTGCTGTGGTTCCAGTTATGGCAGAACTTAATTTCTGTTCAAGTGACATTTGCTTCTGGATTAGTTCCTGCAGGCAAAGAAAAAGCAGAAGCCGTGCTGAAGAGGGCAGAAGATCCCCTGATATCCTGATCCTGCACTTCCCTCACATGCTCCTGGCAGGCTCCTGGCTAAGAACACTCCTCATCTCGTCAGGGATTTCTGGGGAGCATTTCAGAGCTGTGAGACACTGGGAAATGACAAAGAAAAACAATGAGCAAAAAGGGAGGGAGCACTAGTTTTATTGTTAAAAATTAATAGGCCAAACTCCGAACACCTTCAGGCTGGCAGCACACAAAATTCTCCTTGGCTTTATTGGAGGTGTAGAAGTGTATCTTTATTAGTGTGTATGGTTCTGCAGAGTGACTGACAGAGGAGCCCCGTCCTGAGGCCTCACACAAGCTGCTTCCATTCAGGGAACACTTCTGCCATCTAACCTGGCCTCCACCCTCCTTTGGCTCTGCCCATGACTGTCACAGGGCTGAGATGGTGAGGGATGCTGGAATGGGAGGGCTGAGATGGTGAGGGATGCTGGAATGGGAGGGCTGAGACACCACAGAGGGTGTGAGTGGGCAAATCCAGTGGTTTGCAATTTCTGCTGTGGCAAGAGAACTTTTGAGGGGCATTTTTGTTGACAGGGGTGACATTCACCTGCTGAAAAGATGAATGACTCTAGTTCCATGCCTTCAGATCTTCTGGGATTCTGTGGGCTGCACTCTGTGTTTGGGATGCTCCAGATCCACCAGCTCGTGGGACTTGGGATCTTTTCCTCCCTGTGTTTTGCTACCACTGTCATCTTTTGGATAGACAGATATTAAATCAACTGTCAAATCTTGCATGAGGTAGCCAACACCACTATTAACACAGAAAAACTGGGCCATGCAGTATTGTACCAACTCCTGGTAGTAAACGGGGAGTAGTGACTGTGGAAATGGTGACATCTGTGACACCCCAGCCAGAGCCAGCTGCGCAGGGCAGGGGTGATGGCACCGACTGGTGTGAGCAGGGATTGATGTCGTGGTCTTCAAAGTCACATTTGACACTTCTTTTATTGTTTCATTTCTAATTATTCTAATTTAAATTCTAATTATTAAACTGTTAACTCACTCTATGCGGGTTTGGAATTATCTACCCAGTTTTCAGCCTGTTGCAGAGCCCAAAGAGGGATGTGAAATTCCGCAGCAATCAGTGTTGCTGAAGCCCAGCGAAACCCTTCCCACACGGGTCAGGGCCGTGAGGAGCACACCAGGGTTCCTCCCAGACTGTGCCCATGTGGGAGCCCGTGACTCAGCCCTGCGGGAGGTTTTTGTTCAAGGAGACATTGCTGAAGCCTCTGGCTGTGCAGCCCGGGGGTGCTGAGTTACACTGGGAACACTGGGAAGGGTCACAGGGAGATGAGCTCTAAATGTTCCCTGCAGGGAACTCGGAGGACCTTGGCCTGCCGTGAATGTGAGCACAATGGGAATGGTTTCAGCTCCTTCAGGGCCTCCTTTCAGCACCTCCTCTGCCGTGCTCTTACAGCAGCCTCGTGGCTCTGCCTCCATCGCTGTGCTGCTGAGGCAGGAGGAGGCTGGAAAAGGAAAGGATTTCGGGGAATCCAATTTAATGGTAACCACCTTACCTGGAAATTCTGCTTTCAACAACAGGGACTTTTCTTTCTCAGTTTTTATGGATCCTTTTTGTTCTCTTCTGAATCTGACAGATTCTTTGTTGAAATATTTTAAAGCTCTGTCCCAAAGAGCTGTGACTGTGATTCTTGGAACAGCGCGCAAGGAAGAGCTGTCCCTATCCAGTCTCGTGCCTGGCTTTTCCTGCAGGGGGATAATTCCCTTTGCTGCTGCTGCTTTGTGGCCCTGCTCAGAGCCCAGCTGTGCCCAGCCCCGCTGCCTGTGCCACCCTGCAGCCCTCTGTCCCTGAGGGGGCACGGGGACAGGCAGGGACAGCCATCACGGGATTGATCCATGGAACGCAGCTCCTGCTGGGGGATTCCAGAGCCCAGAGCCCCAGAGCAGCAAGCAGAGCAGTGCCAGCCCTGCTGCTGCTGCTGCTGCACACAGGCTCTGCCCTGCTGGCCCCACCAAAGCACCAGTGCCTGCGCTGGAGCTGCCCTGGTGGCTGCACACGCTGGGAAAAGCCAAACAGGGGTGGCAGCCCTCAGCTGTGACCCAGCAAAGTGCCAGCTCTGAGCCAAGCCATCACTGCCATGGGTTTGACCAGAAACCCAGATAACAGAGGGCAGAGAGGCATGGTCTCTGAGAGTCCCAGGAAAGCTGGGACACAGCAGCTGGGGCTGAGCTCTGGGGCTCACACTGAGCCTGTGCTCACACTGAGGCTGAGCTGTGGGGCTCACACTGAGCTGTGGGGCTCACACTGAAGCTCACACTGAGCTCTGGGGCTCACACGGAGCCTGTGCTCACACTGAGGCTGAGCTGTGGGGCTCACACTGAGCTGTGGGGCTCACACTGAGCTCTGGGGCTCACACTGAGGCTGAGCTTTGGGATTCACACTGAGGCTGTGCTCTGTGGCTCACACTGAGCTGTGGGGCTCACACTGAGCTCTGTGGCTCACACTGAGCTGTGGGGCTCACACTGAGCTGTGGGGCTCACACTGAAGCTCACACTGAGCTGTGGGGCTCACCCTGACGCTGTGCTCTGGGGCATCTCAGCTGGATTTTTTAGCACAAGGACCACAGCACTGGTTCCCCTGTAGAACACACCAGAGGGGTCACAGCCACTCAGTCACACACCCTGGGCTGGGCACAGGCCCCTCTGCCCAGCACAGCCCCACACAGGCTGGCACATCCTGCCCCTGCCCTGGCACAGCCTGCAATACGCAAGGTGCTCTCACCTTGCTCAACCAACTTTCACCTTCTGCTCAACCAACACCCAACTCCAGGGTGATGCTTTTATTTTATTTTTATTGGACAAGGGCTTTAGAATCAAGCTCCGGTTGTGGGATAAAAAAAATTAGGTGATACATGAAATAAATGAGCACTAATGTAAAGACAGTGAGAAAATGGATGGCCCTACAGCATTTATTAGCTAGCAGAACATGGAAATGAGATTAGGTTTTATTTGGTAAGTCTTGATTTCTCCCTATATTCATGTACAGCTCCTTATTTATGGCTCAGCCTGTCAAACACATTCTTAGATAAGCAACTGTTGCTCACAGGACTAATCTAATTACCAGTTCTTTTTATAACGAACGCTGACACAAAGGTAGAAGATGCATAGCACTTGTGCTGGAGCCAATGCTCCAGATGATCAAACAGTTCTGAAATTTCAAAAAAACGGGGAGAAGAAATTTTTGTCACGATGTTCCTGTTTTTTGTCCAACTCTAATTAAAGATGAAGAACAAGAGTGAAAAGCTGGTTCATTTGCAGCTTTGGCACAGACTTAATTGCCAAGAGTTTAGACTGGGTATTTTAGCACTCTGCAGTAATGTTCCATAGGCACATTTCCCTACCACAGGCTGGAGAATGCTAGAGCCCTAATTATTTGTAAAGTGCATTTTAAAAAGTTTTGGAATTTTCCTTCAGGAACAAGCATATAAGAACAGCTTCAAATTGTATTTTAAAGACATTTGCACAGAAAATCAGCGTGCTGTAGGTCTGGCCAACCAGCACAGACTGAGAAACTGATTTTACTTTTTTTGGAAGGACAATGTTGTGTCCTTGGCCTTCATTTAAACCATAAACCATTATGCATTCTGACATTTCATGCAACCTGCTCCAGAAATGCCAATAAGAAATAGTATTTCTGAAAATTAAGACAAAGAAGCACTGGTCAGTGTGATGGGGACTTCTAAATTCCTCAAGCTCTTAACTGCTATTAAGTAATTTTACTGCAAAAGAGTGGAAAATAGGTGAAACTCTTTAAATCAGCTTTACTTTACCTCTCAGCACACCTGAAATCAAACAAGTGGATTTAATTATTTTTGAAGTTTTGGAGTTTTCCTCCTGAGCCGTTCTGCAAGCCAGGGTCAGTCCCTCTAAAGTGAAGGGGGTCTGTGGTGAACGTGCACAGAAGCTGTGCCAAACCCGAGTGTCCCTGTGCTCGGGACAGGGCCTGGACCAAGACGAGCAACACCTGCCCATGCTTTAGGCTGTTCATTGCTTTTCCTGTCCTGTTTCAAACCCTCCCCACTGCCGGCAGGCGTGTGCTGGCGGCAGAGCTGGAGTGAACCCTGTGCTGAGCCCCTCCTGATGGGGACAGGGAGGCTCAGAGCTCTCTGTGCTCCCCTCCACGGCTCCAATCGGATTTTCCTCTTGCCACGGGCACGGCGCTCCCGCTCCCGCCGCAGTGACAGCTCCTGGGAAGGGCGGCCCCGCTTTGCCCAGCGGCGCTGGGGTCCCTGGCGCTGCCCTCTCCCAGTGCCCCGCAGAGCTGAGGGAGAGCGAAGCTGGGAACAGATGGCGGGGAAGGCTGGCATCTCCTCATGCATGTTTCACTGGGTTTGCAGCTAGTCACCTCCTATAATAACGTTAAGTGCTACAAAACTCCAAGGCTTTGCTCCTCGGAATGTTGCATTCGATGGCGTCGGATCAATGCTGTAACATCAATTAAATTCTGAAGCTGGTGAGCTCTGAGTATTTACATCTTTAGCAAGGTTAGGCTATAAACAGCTCGATTCTTCTGTTCTGCTGTGGTTAGGGCTGACTTGCAGAGAAGGAGCTGGTTCTGTGCTGAGTGACGAATGTTACGTGACGTTTTTTAAAGCACAATGGGACAAACATCTGTGGTTATTTCCATTACCCTCTAAGGCGTGTTACTGGGAGACAATTCAGCCATTAATCCTGATGTATTTACATTATTTATATACAAGAGGAACAAGAAAAATGGTCGCCTGTTTAATGATTATGTACATTGTGATTCGGTTGGAAAAATGTGTATTACAAATGGCAAAACAGCCTGTCAAGTGCATAATTATATGTTGCTCTTCTTTTTTGTTGTTGCCAGAGAAATTTTAATTCTTTAAATCCCACTGCATGATCTCGGTGAAAGTTCTGCCCTATGCATTATATGGGGGGGAAGGAACAGCATAATAACAGACCTCTGTAACCACATCAGCTCCCAGCTAGAGCCCCTTCTCTTCGTTTTAATATGAGCATTACCTTTGTAAGGTGCTTCCAGAGCGCATCAAAAGATGGACCCTGATACAACGACAGCAAGAGAAACAGGAAGGTAAATTCACTCATTGTCCCTAGTCTCGGAAGAGAGAGTGGTGAACAAAACCTCGCTGCCTTGTGACTCATTGCTCATCTGAGACTTGGCCTTCAGCAAGAACTGCGCTCTCCTGTACATGATCCTCTCCTGCTCCTGCTTCAGCTCCAGGTAGGAGCGCGAGAAGGTGTGGAAGATGGAGGTGACCGGGAAGGCCATGAGGAGGATGCCGCTGAGGATGCTGCTCAGGGCCACCACCTGCCCGGGGATGCTCCTGGGCACCATGTCCCCGTAGCCCACGGTGGTCATGGTGATGACGGCCCACCAGTAGCAGGCGGGGATGCTGGTGAACTCCTGCGAGTCGGCCATCTCGTTCTCGATGACGTAGAGCAGGGGCGCGAAGAGCGCGATGGCCACGCAGAGGAAGAGCAGCAGCAGCCCGAACTCGCGCGTGCAGCGCCGCGCCGTCAGCCCCAGCGTCTGCAGCCCCAGCGAGTGCCGCGCCAGCCGCATCACGTACAGGATGCGCAGCGCCCGCAGGATCCGCAGCACCAGCCCCACCTTGTCCAGGTAGATGTTGCCCGAGCTGGGCTTCTTGGAGCCCTCGGAGCCCGTGTCCACCAGCAGGGTGATGTAGTAGGGCAGGATGGCGATTATGTCTATCAGCGTCAGCGGCCGCCGCAGGAACGCGAACTTGCTCCGGGCCTGGATGAAGCGGAGCAGGAACTCCAGGGAGAACCAGGCCACGCACACGGACTCCACAATGAAAATATTGTAGCACATCTGGGAACACTCACCCTGCGGGAAAGAGGAGGAGTTTGTAATCGGCTCTGGGTAATAACTGTTTTAGTCGGTGCGGTGACAGGAGGAGAGGCTTCTGTGTTGGTTTTTTTAACCCAAAATATTAAAGGAATTGAAGCTGTTGCTATGGGGAAACACGTTGGCAGCTTGGAACATGCTAAATGCAAAACTTAGAGAGGCTCTGCTTATTCCACAGAAGATACTGCTCGGGAATTTCAGGCTTTCTAAATACAAAGTCTAACATTAAAGGTAATATACAGAAGAGTGCACGCTAAGAGAATTTTCTTTGGACATAAAACTGGCTATGGTTAATTCTCTTACGAGTAATTGAAGAGTCATGTAACTTTCAAATATTCTTCACTCTAAAGACAGCTGCAAAATCCCCATTGACGTCAATAACCTCAGACCTTGTACTTGCTCTGCTCTTCCCAGCACATACCACTTGGCATCCTGAAAGGTAACTTACCTTTTCCTCCTCCTCCCTCAGGTCAGGCATGGTGCTGATGGATAAGTTCACTGCTGTAATAGTTACAAACAAAACAGACAAACACGCAAACACCTTTCCAGGAAGGCCAGACTGGGGCCTTTCCACCATGTCTTGCAACTTTCTCATGCACAAACCAATTTTTGTCTCCTCTACTGTTTCACCTGTTGTTTCATTTTCTAGGAGGTCATCCTCCCGTTCACTAATCTCTGTGAGCTCCTCCATTTTTTGCAGGTACCTCCTTTTACAACACCAGTCCAAGTTGTCCTCCTCAATGCCCCAGTAGAGCAGCTCCTCCTGGAAGGACAGCGCGCACATCTCCCGCAGGAGCCGCAGCTTGCCGACCCGCAGGAAGGTCAGGATCGTCCTGAACGCCCCCGGGTTGCGGTCGAAGAAGAACTCGTTGCACGTCACATCGTAATCGTCACAGATGTTCAGAATGTCGTCAAAGTTGGTGCAGAACTTGAGCTGTCCCAGGCGCGTCAGGGGGAACTCGTCGAGCGTGGTCCAGGGCAGCAGGTACTTGATGCCGCCCACGTTGATGATGATGTGACGCTTGCGGTCGTCGGGGTGGAAGCCTTTGAGGAGATCCTCCTGAGGGTGGATGAGCCTGGCTCTTTGGTAAAACACTCCCTTGAGGGTTTCAGACTCTGGAAAGAACGTGTGGTTGAAGGAAGGATCTGAAGTACAGCTCAGGGCGCTATAGTCATAGTCGGAGTTCTCTCCAGGCATAAGAGTCATCTTGGAAGACAACTTTGCATCCCTTCGCTGCTCCTGCAAGTGTCTTCTGGAACAGAAAACGGACACGGGGTGAGGAGATGGCAGGCTGCTTTCAGGTTTTGAGCAAGTGTAGTGCTTGGAGCCCAAAAGCATTTATGGATGATGAGAGCAATTGGAAAGGAAACAGCAGTGGCTGAGCGTGGTCAGACCTTTCTGGGCGGGCTGGGTTTGCACAGATGGGCAGCACTGCCCATGCCAGGGGCTGTGCCAGGTTCAGGAGCTCTGCCTGGCATGTTCATCACACTGGAGGCTTCTCCTGTCCCAGATACAGAGGCCTCAGTTCCCAGTAGGTAAAGATGGAAACCAGGAAAAATTCCTTCATGTGGCAGGATGTTTCTGGTTCAGAGTGGAGGTATAAAAATGATGACAGTATCACATTAGTGACACTAATCTGTGAGCACACAGAATTCAAGTGTGCTTTGTAGAAAATTAAATTGAATAATTTTTTTAAGTATTACTCATAAAACTTTTGAGTATTTTAGCACCCATGAAATATATAGAAAGAATCAGAAGTCAGTTATGTTGTAATTCAGTGAATACACACTTATAAAAACCAGTTAGTACAAGACTAATTTCTAAAAGGCCATTGGGAAACAACCTGGGGGTAAAAAGCTCACTTGTATTGGTGATCACATGAACATTTGTACGGATTTTATACACAATTAATGACATGGCAACTCCCTTTTTATGGCCTCATTTACAAAAGATTGCACAGGAACACAGGATTTCCATGCAGACCTTGGAATGTTGTTTCAGTTATCACTGACACCCTACATGCAGTAACAGGGCTTTGTCCTTGCAGTACACTGAGCCAAGCTGCCCTTACCTCTGATTGTAAGAGGCCAAACATTTCTAATGACAGCTTGGAAAATCCTGTTCAAATTCAGCTCATGCAACACTGGCGTAAAGTCCAGGGAGTGGAGAGAACAGAATTCAACTGGGTATCAAGCACAGGAGCTGGAAATGTTCAAACCTGTGGCCTCCCTAAGTCACTGCCCTTCAGGAGTCAGCCTGGAATCTGCTCCTGCACAGGAGGCAGAGCAGACCTGCCCCAAGGCCTTTTATCTGCACACTCAGCCTCAGCTGAGTGCATGGAGTCCCTGAGTTTCACTGGACAAGAGTATTAATTTATTAAGGAGATTGTCCAATACAGAGACATTAAATATGCACCACTATTTTGGCTTTCTAGCCTGGGGTTCACAGGAAAGGAATAAATATTCCAGTTGATTGGCTTCAGGAGGGTTTTGTTCTTGTCCTGGCTGCACTCACCTCCCTTGGATGGGCACCCCAGGGACACAACCCCTGCTAGGGCCACTTGCTGAGCCACAGAGCCTCCTTTTCAGAAGCCGGGGTTATAAACCACACCAGGAGTGGCACATACCTATTAAAGAAGAAAAGCCCATGATTACACAACAGCAAAGGACTCAGAGCACGGCTGCACATCAGTTTAAGAGCTCTCCTTGCTGCAAGGGCACTTACAGTGCTTCAATTAAAAACTCTCCCAGTCCTGCTCCTGAACTTCCCAGGGGTTTGGGCTGAGCAGAGCAGCTCTGTGAACACTTACAGGGCAGCCTTGGGTGGAGAGCTATTTCCTGACTCCTCACTCATCCAGAACCACAGAATGGTTTGGGTTGGAAGGGACCTTAAAGCTCATCTTGCCCCACCCCTGCCATGGATCAGCAGAAGAAATGCCACTGGAGTGCAAGCCATGGTTTGATATGGAACCAGGGCTGCCTGATGGATGTTTGTGTAGGGCTTCGTTTCCCAGACCAACTGCTGTTTTATTTAAAAATGCCTTTTCCCTTCTGCCTCACCATGCCTAAAGCAGGGCTGGTCCAAACAGAATGGAGATTATGACTGATATAAGATATGGATAAGTGGGAGCTGTTAACCACTTTCCCTTCTGTAATACCAGATGATGTTGGTTAGCAACAACTTATCCTCTGAATCTCAGCCAGGAAAAATGAGGAGGCAGCTCATCCCTGTCACTGGTTTGATCTCCCAGCATTTCCACAGTTGACACAATGGGAAGAAATGGAGAGAGGGAAATGTAAACGTTGTGCGTGTGTCAGACACACGCTGTAACCCTGAGGCAGCAACTGTGAAAGAGCAGAGCAAAGAGAAAGGGATTTCTTTCTTCACTGCCAGCTCCTCGACCTGTGTGAGACAACAAATTGGACAAATGAATCCCCTGTGTGCCACGCTGAGTGGCTGCACTCAGAAAGGGCTGCTCCTTGCTTTGCCATCACCAGAGCTGGCAAGGCTGCAAATCCCACGTAGGATCTGCTGCTCCACATGGGTTATTTTCATGTTCTCTGCCTCAGATACACGCAGCATCATATCTACAGGGGAAGAGTAGGAGGAGATAAAGGACAATAATAAACGTGGCCTGACTTGAAGGAAGGGAGAAAGGAGAAAAAATAAACCACTGCACTTCTCTGTGTGTTTCTTCTTCTCCTTCTGAGGGTGCCTCGACAGAATGATGGTCAGCATTGCTTTAGGAGGAGAGAGATCTAATTAATGGGAGGGCTCCTTGCTGTTGAGCTGAAAGCCCAAGCAAGCTGCTTTATTCCTCCATTGCAGCCTGGCGACACTGGGGACAGCTGGTGAGAAATGCCTTCAGGAGCACACAGCAATGCAAGGTCACACAAACACACCAGCCCAGAGCCCCAGCCTTCCCAGAACTAAACAAGGTGAACTTTAGGGCTCTCTGTGACAGTGAAATCCTCTGCTCTGCCCTGCCCTGGCGGAGTCAGGCCAATGGTAAAAGCCCTCCTGGGCTCTGAGCAGCATTCTGCCCTTGCAGTGCCTGGCACCCACTGAAGCCCAGCTCAGGCTCCTGCTGCCCTGCTGGCGGCGTGCCCCGCTCCTGGGCACAGCCCTTCTCTCCGAGCATCGCTGCTCCCGTGTTCTGTACACTCACTGGGGCAAGAGCTGTCCCCTCCTGCCTCACCCACCTGGGAATTGCTCTGCCTTCAGAACCTGCAGTGACACACAATAACTGGCCCAGGGCAGGGGCTCTGGGTGACTCCGAGGGGTGGGTTGGGCATGGCAAGTAAGTGAGGACACATTTTCAAAAATCCGTCCTGCACAAGATGATGATATCCATTATGTCTGGTGAAGAAATCAAATTAGGAATCCGTGCTGCCCTTACTTGCAGCCAAAATTCAGGAAGGATGCCAGACTCCGAGGCAATGGGAAAAGAATTATTAAAGATGCCCTTCTGAGAGAAGGAAATAGAACTCATGAGAAACAAGACAAAATTCCACTGCAAGTGTTGTTCCCCCCCTCCCCAGTGTCCGCTGCAGTATTTTGAATTCTGCAGTGCATCTCTGATGTAATCAGAGCTCCTGCAAGGAGTCCTGCTTCTGCTCCACGGCACAGACAATCCAAAGTTGTGCCTGGATGATAACAAGCCTGCAAACAAGATACAGAACTCCCCCCATGTCTCTTCTGTCAATTCCAGTGCCTGCAGCTCGTCTCTGTTGCTTTTCGCCATTTGTAAATTAAGTTTAAAAAGACATTAAAAAGAAGTTTCAGATTTCAGTGCAGGTTGAATATGAATCTAGTGAATTTTTGGAAAGAATTCCATAAGGAACAATGTAATGATCCCATCTCCTTTAGTCCTTCCTTAGTTGAGCAGGCAGCATTTCCAAGCAGTGCCACACTCAGCTCTCCCTTGGCACAGGATTTCTGTGCTGTGCCTCCCTGCCAGGCACCTCCTGCCACACTCCTGCAGCTCTTTACAGCCTGAGAACAGACCTCAAACTTCAACTCTGCTCGCAAAACTGCACTGCCAGCCAAACCAAAGTGAAACTTAGAAAGGTCAATGTATAACATGAATTAAAACTCTACTGAACAGCAGATAAGCTGAAAAAAACATTCTCTGTCTTGCTCACCTTGAGCCGGACAGTTGTGGCGTCTTATGACAACCTACAAAGAGAATTATGTCAAATATGCTACTCACTGTTTGGTCTAATCAAGCTGAGCCTTATACTACTGATAATAATCAAAAGTGAAATAACTTTGCAGATAACTTATATCCCTAGGAGAATGTTCTGAAATACATCAGGATTAATAACTGCAGTTACTCTCCTGCTGTGAAACATATTTATGTCAACAAATTTTAGCAAGTCACATTCATAGCAATCCCTTAAACATAATTTTAAAAAGTAAAGGATTTGACATTTACTCGTACAGATAAATATTTTGCTAACGAAATTAAGGTACGTAATCAAGGAAGAGTTCTTTCATGCTCGTCCCGTCCTCGACCCCTCCCCAAGTCTTTTCCAATGAAAAAAAAATCTACCGGAAAGACATTGCCTATCAAGAACAGTTCACTTGATGCGCCTGTCAGTCACCAACGAGCAGAAGTCAGCAAACGCACCAACACCAAAGACACCCCTTAATCATTTAAAAGGAAAGCCGTAAAGGACCTTCAGCCTAGGCGAGGCGGCAGCGCTGGGACCCGCGAGCCTCCATGGAGCGCCGGGAGCCCCGGAGCGGGCGGAGCGGAGCCGCGGAGCGGGAGCGGCGGGGAGAGCCCGGAGCGCCGTCAGCCTCCTCCGCGCCGGGGCCGGGCCAGGGCGCGAGCGGCGCCGGGGAGCGGCCGAGCCCCTCCCGCTGCGGGCGGCCCGGCTCCGGCGGGGGCTGCCGGCCGCTCGCCGCCCTCCATCCCGCGGGCCGGCGGCGCCTGTTGCTGCGGCCGGGGGGCCCCGGCTCCGGCCGCCCCCGGCTGGGCGAGGCGCCCGAACTCGCCCGCGAGTCGCCCGGGCTGGGATGCGCCGGGAGCTACCGCGCTGCGCCCCCGCCGGGGCCGCGGGCGGGACGGGAGCGCTCCGGGCGAGCCCCGGGCCCGCGCATGGTGCGGCAGCGGCACCGGCACCGGAGCGGAGCCCGGGCAGCCCTGCCCGCACCGCCCGCGCCGGACGAGCAGCGGCGGCGGCAGGAGGAGGAGGAGGAGGAGCTCCCGGAGCCGAGGAGGAGCGCGGCGGGCCGGGGCCGCCCGCAGCCCTGCCCCGTGCCCACCGTGCACAGGGGGCATCCCGGGCTGCCCGCGGCTCCCGCAGCCCTGCCCCGTGCCCATCCCGGGCTGCCCGCAGCTCCCGCAGCCCTGCCCCGTGCCCATCCCGGGCCGCCCGCAGCTCCCGCAGCTCCCGCATCCCTGCCCCGTGCCCAGGTGGCATCCCGGGCTGCCCGCAGCCCTGCCCTGTGCCCATCCCGAGCTCCCCGGCCGCCCGCAGCCCTGCCCCTGCCGTGCGCACCGGGCGCTCGCTGCTCGCAGAAATGTTATTACGGGTAAAAGCACAAATCCCATCCCGTCCGCGTCCCCGAAGTGCGCAGAGGCTCCAGCAGAGCCAAGCCCGTGCTCTGCTCCCGGGGAGCCCTCGCAGCTCAATCAGACACCGGGGCATTGTCACAGACTTGGAGAATATTGCCCCGCTCTACTTTTAATGACATTTGTTTGACATCTGGGTGGAAGTTACTCTGTGCGGATGCAATCTCCACTTGAGAGCGGCGAGCTGAATCTCGGAGCCGGGGTTAAGGAGGCAGCAGCAGCTCAAGCCCTGTCGCAGACTCGAGTGAACGCTCCCATCCCGAGCGCTGCTGTCCCCCGTGGGTGCAGAGACCACCTCCCCTCTGGGCTCTGATTCCCTCCCCTGCCCAGGCACCGCTCCCGGAGGGAATTCCCGCAGGGGATGTGCCAGACCCCGTGCGGGATGGGGACAGGGGCCGTCTGTTCCTGCGGGCATCGTGCGCTTCACCCGGAGCACCGCGGGGTCTCCTGTCAAGCCAAGTCCTTTGTTGCTATGGCAATACAAATGAAAAATCTGTACTACGGTAATTTTAGCCAAACACCTCTTTTCTCCCCCTAAAGTAGACGGGACCGTGGTTCAGGATTGTGTGGGCACACAGGAACAGTCGTGCTCATATTCCTCAGCCGGAGGTGCTGAACAGCAGTTGTGCAGAGGGCTGGCGGCTCGGGCTGCTTTCCCCTGATATTGCACAGGATTTCTGTTTGACTTTGGAAAGGTTTCCGAGCAGGGAGGTGATTGGTGTTACTGGCCACGGTGACAGGTACGCGAGTTTTGGCTTTTGGGCAACAGTCTGGAATACCTTGCTAACAAAAGCCTGCATTTAAAAGGCTTTGCTGTCAAAGAGGAAGGACATGCTAAGTAGGGAAGTAGGGTCTCCCCGGGAGTAATCTGGAACAGTTCTGGTCAGTGTTTTCTGTAATAACTTGGGTGACAGGATGGAGGGCATTTCTAGAACATGTGCAGAGATTCCAGCACGGAGTGCCAGGCTCAGATTTCAAACGACCCCGAGGTTCTGCAGAGCCTGCCTGAACTCTGCACAGTGAAGGGGACAAAACGACGTGGTGTGCCACAGAGGAGGAATATCACACGTTAAATGAGCACCGTGAGGGGGACACGATGCACAGAGACTCAGACTGGAGTCTGCAGCCCGGACTGGAGTCTGTAACCCGGGCAGTGCTGCAGAGCAGCCGCTCCCGCTGCTCCCAGCGCTCAGGGCAGGAGCAGCATCCAGAGACATCCGAGGGAGGCATTCCTGCTCCTTCATCAGTTAGATCAGGAGCATCCCAGAGACATCCGAGGGCAGCATTCCTGCTCCTTCATCACTTAGATCAGGAGCAGCATCCCAGAGACATCCGAGGGCAGCATTCCTGCTCCTTCATCACTTAGATCAGGAGCATCCCAGAGACATCCGAGGGCAGCATTCCTGCTCCTTCATCAGTTAGATCAGGAGCATCCCAGACACATCCGAGGGCAGCATTCCTGCTCCTGCAGCGCTGGCCAGGCTCGGCTGGGGCGCTCCGGCCGCTCTCAGGCGTGTCACTCATCCTGCCAGAGAGATTTAGGCAAAGCAGAGAGGAGAGCAGCAGCCACAACGGCGAGAGGCTCGGAAATGTAAGCTGTGTGCAAGGCTGGAATTCATTACTTGAGCTGGGAAAAGAAAATGCAATGTAAGGACTCAACAACTGTCTTCGAATGTATAAACACATTTGCAAAGATGACAGTAAACACTTGTCCTCTGACCACAAATGATGGGACAGAAAGCAATTTGCTGGAGTGCAATTAGGGAGATTACTTTAGATATCAGGGGGAAAAAACCAAACAAACCAGACAAAACGATTGCCCTGTGAGTAGATGGAGAGGAGCTGGGAGCTCAGGAGGCTGTAAATCTGCTCAGTGGAGATTCACAGAAAAGATTGGGTAAAGAGCTCTCAGGGCTGGCTGTGACCGTGCCTGGGCAGGGGAGATTTCCTGCAACCTTCACTTGCCAGCCCTGATTTCTGTGAGCTCTGGTTGCCCGTGGAGTTACAGCAATCCTAAAGGAGCAGGCACCAAAGGACAACTCACTGCCACCCCAAATGATTCATGCAGAGTCTCCTGCTGTCCTGTAAATCCTCCCTGACTGTGCTGCTCGGATCAGGATCCCATTTCCATCTGGAGACAGGCAGAGTGGAACTCTGCACTGCAAGTAAGCAGCTCCCAACTCCAGTTTTGAGCAATAGTGACTGAGAATGGTCATTACTGTGGTCAGTGCTGATGTGAATGTCCTGCAGCCTGCTTGGTACCCACTGTAGGACTGCCCCTCCTCTGGACTCTGCCCCGGCAGGTTCAGTGAGGCCAAGGGCTGGGTGACCCCAGTGTGAGCAGTGGCTGTGAGGTCACTGATGGGGCCAGCATTAAATCTGCCCTGGCAAATGGCAATGTCAAATCTTCCCTCTTCATGCCTGTCTCACCCCATCCCTCATGAGCACAGAACTCCTGGGGGAGCCAGAGGTGGTCCCTGCCCCTGAGGGTGGCCAGCAGCGCCCCATCTCTGCAGTGATCAGCTGTTCCTGGAGGGCTGGCCAAAGGTTCCAAGAGTCAATCAACTGCTCCGTGCTCCTTGAGGAACTGGCAGTGCTGCAGCAAAAAAATTTAATCCCACTTTCATTACTTTTATAGCCTGTGGCTGCTTTTCCTTCTGTTCCTTTGATGGCTGACATTGAAATCCTGTTCTATCAGTTTCTCTGGCTTTTTAAGATAATTCCAGCATCATTCTGCACTCAGGTGGATTCCACACTCAGGAGCAGTGCTGCCAGCAAAACAGGGAATTTCAGCTTCACAGCACCTCTCACCTCCCAAGCAAACCAGGAGGCTGAATTCCTTTCTGCTCAAGGACTGCATTCATTTTGGGCACTCAGGGCAGAAAGCATCCCCAGGCTGGAGCGTGTCCAAAGACGATGGTCAGTGCAAGGAGTGCCTGCTCTGCTGGGACATTTGTGCAGCCTGGAGGAGAGATGGCTCTGGGGGCTCCGAGGGCTTCCCAAGGGGGCTGTGCCAGCCTGGATGGTTTGGGGTGGGAGGTAACTGCTGTTTGCAATATTGCTGCCGTCCCCTGAGATCCAGGGGGCTGCACTGAGGCAGCTCTGGCCCCTCAAGGGGAGCAGCTTTCCTGCCAGTGGACCCAATGCTCCTGTCGCTGCATGCTGACACATTTCCTTGCTGATTTATGGCCCTTGCAGGCAGTTTTGTTGCTTGCTTCTCTTGTCTATTCTCATGAGCAGCTCCATTACTCTCAGTGCAGTGCCTCTGCAGTGCACCTTCCTGTGGATAGAGCCCTGCTTGAGGTAAACATGAATTTAATCCCCTTATGGTGCCTTTATTGCCAGCTGAGGTGCTTTGGAGGAGCTGTGGGTGCCCACCATGAATAAACTGTGTCTGTCTCAATGGGTGACCCAGGCTCAGCTCCCTGTCAGGGCATTTTACACAACTCTGGCACTGATGTTCACTCCTGGTCAGTTCCCTGTGAGGGCATTTTACACAACTCTGGCACTGATGTTCACTCCTGGTCAGTTCCTTGTGAGGGCATTTTACACAACTCTGGCACTGATGTTCACTCCTGGTCAGTTCCCTGTGGGGACATTTTACACAACTCTGACACTGATGTTCATTTCTGGTCAGTTGTTCCCTGTGAGGGCATTTTACACAACTCTGGCACTGATGTTCATTTCTGGTCAGTTCCCTGTGGGGACATTTTACACAACTCTGGCACTGATGTTCATTTCTGGTCAGTTCCTTGTGAGGACATTTTACACAACTCTGGCACTGATGTTCCCTCCTGGCCAGCAGGATCCCAGGATGGGATCACAGGAGATCTGCAGCAGAGAGGGGATTACACTGAGATATCTCACTGTCACCTTTTTTTAACAGCTCCTTGGGCGTTTCTATTGGCAGAGGAGCTTTCCTTCAGCCTCATTCCTTGTGCAGCTTGCTGGGAGCCGTGTGTTTGTGCATCAGGCTCCTCTCCCATTCTGCCTCTGCCTGTCCCTGCTGCAAACCATCCAGGAGAGCTCCCGAGGAGCTCCCGCCTGCCTGTGCCGTGTTAGCGGCACCGG